ATCACCTTAAGATTAGAGAAGCTTGGACCTTGTAAAATATATTAATACGTTACCAGCTTTCCGTTTGAAAAGAAATGACCTTAAATGCTCTAGCTTATACTGTCTCTCGTTACGCGATGTGTTTTTGACCATAGATTAGTATTTCTCTGTTATGTCAATTGATATTTTACTTGTTAATTAATTATCACAGATGGAATTGCACGTACAATCTTCTTTATCAGACTTCGGCGATTCGCTTTCTCGCTAATAGTGCTAATAGAACGACACGGAGAGGGAACTATTGTTCCGTTAGAATACTGTTATCGAGTGTGTGCTCCAGGAAATCTTTTTCTAAAACTTGAACGTTCAAATTATTACGTAAAATAATGGTAGCTAAAATGCAGCGCAACGTTCCGTAGGATAGTCAGTCTAATATTCATGGAGAGTCTAAGCGGCTGGATGAATGGCTGTTCCATATTACGATGTACCGTTCATAAATTTCTCGGCGGGTCGAACGTGTTTTGAGAAAATAAGAATATAAGCTGTGTAAAATTTGCCGTCACACAATATCTTCGCGCTATAGAGAGAATGATCGGATGTAGATGAAGTACTATAACTACCATAATTTTCTGAATAATTTCGAGATAAGATGATCAGGAAAATATATATTTTATTGAACAAGATAAAAATCAGTTTCTGTATATAAAAAATGTAAATATACTTCAGTGTTACAATTATGTCAAAGAAGGTAGCTATATTATCGATAGTAAGATCACAAGCGCAAAGTCGCTAGCATATCGATAGTCAACAATAATTTCTCTATTTTATCGACGTATGTTAGAAAACTTTGAGACTTGTGTCTTTTATCTTTTACAGATAACTATCTTATTAATTATTTTTATCTACATGTGTAGGATATGGTATAATATAAAAAAGAACATAATTCGTATTGGAGATAAATATACATATGTACAATGTTGGAAATATGTCAATATATATTTAAATTAACCGATGTATAAGCAGGTTAAAAATTCGTAATACCAAAACGTACCGTTTTAAAACATAAACGGTCTCTGCCGTAAATGTTTCACACATAAACATACACAAACGTTTTTTCCTTTCGTCACGCCTTAGACGTTGGGAATTTTCACGACTTTAAAGAAAGGGCTATTTCTTTATCTTTATCCGTGACTCCGCGACTACAACTCTCACAATTAGTGTATTAAAATATCAGAAGAGATAGCGCCCTCTTATATTAAAAATAATACGTAATAAAGAGTAATAGTGTTATAAAATAGCGAAGAAATTCAATCTAGGTGTGCACGTGTCCAGCACGTTGTGCGCGTTACAAAATTAACACAGCCATCTCACAAACACCTTCTAAGGGAGATACATACCAGCAGTGAGATCGTATTCTCAAAAAAATTTGCAACTTTTTAAATTTAAATTTAGACTGTAGCTTCTTTTCTTTACACGCTTCTCTTCAACTACATGCTTTTCTAATTTAGGATTCAGTCAATATCCCTATGAGAATGTGATCTCGCTATTATAATTCACGCTTTCATACATTCTCATCACACAAAGTTCATACTCGAGTTGCGCTATTTCCTAAGAAAATAAGCTGCCGCTCCCTTCATTTTCTATCACGCGTTCAATCTGCGATTGAAGTTGAAAAATACAGCTATGTCTAATTGACCAATTGGCTACATTTTTACGCAACGCAAGCTCTTGGACGGGATCCGCGCGCTGAATTGGAAGGAGCTCTCGCGGGGTCGCCCGTTAATTTCTTCCGCTTGAACGGCCGATTCCGCGTCCTCGACGTCGAGGTCGACGACGAAGTTGCGATTTCCCATCAGCGTCGCCAAGCACATGCTCTCCTCCTTTATTTGCGAGCGCACCAGCATTTCTAGCGTGAAGAGATGCTCGTCGTGCGCCTCCGGCAAGTAACGGTGCATGAACTCCGCCAAGCTGTCACAACAGTCGGACAAATATTTTTATCGTCTTGTTATAATTTGTATTATAATTTGTAACGTTATCAACGTGTCAGACAATAAATGAATTTAGAAAACAACTTACGTTATGTGTATCTCTTACCGTAAGAGGTATTCGACGTTATGTCCGCTCGGACCGGAACATTCAGTAATTTGACGCGCTATAGTCTGCAACGATGCCTCGCCGAGCCACTGCTCGTTCTTGTTGGTGGCGATGTAAATTACTACGGGGAATTGCTTGTCCCCGTCCCGGCTGTGAAATGTCGCGATGGTCGTCAGGTATCCTCCTAAGGAGCACTCGCGGTTTTCCAAATAGGATAACGCCGCGCTGTCTTCAAGCTGAAACGCTCGTCCGTAAACTACAGCCTGTCAGCGAAAAAAAAATCTCGATTACACATTATTCCCATGATCGAGATTTGTATTGCGACACAATGCAATTAATAAATTAAGTACCTCTTTGTCCTCGATTAGGGTGGCGACTCGTGCAGGCTGCAACATAATTTTTTATGAACCGCGACGTAAAAATGTAACAGTCAATCTTATTAAGAGATTAAGATAGAAAGAGTTAAATTAATTTGTGTTTGAAAATTTTTTCGATGTGGAACAAAATACGCATATAGAACAAGTTTGCTCTGATGGAGACAGATAGATATACATATCATATATGTAAGTATCATTTCATTTTTATCAAAAGATTATATAATATTATTATATAATATTATTATATGCGTTTGTATATCACTATATGTAGACTTGTATATAAGCAGAAAATACATATCACACTGTTGCAAAAGGCGAAAGACAAAACAAGAAGTAAGCCACGACACGAAGCTTTATCTCTCATTGAAGATATCAGTTACTACTGGTTTATAACTGGTTGTATATACAATTTCACGTAATTTATACGCAAGTGTAATACAAAACGCATTACCGCAACATTCATTTACCCTTTCTTCGTTAAAAAGGAAACTATGACTTTTATAATTATAGACCCTTTTTATGGGAACATTTTATTCTAAAAGTGTCTAGAAAGCAATCTCTATCTAAGTCTCATATCCAAATAAAAGCAGTGATTTTCTGCTAAATATTTATTTACATTTTAATCTTTACATAATTACTTTCAGATGGTTATATTTACATGTCAATAATAATTTTATAAATATCAAGATATTCTTCAATCGATTTCAGTTAAAAAAGATGAAACACAAGTGAAACAAAGAAGACACAATGAGGGAACTGACGAAGCGCACGAGTTTCCTTGTGCGTGTTAAAACAAAGAGGATCAAAATAAATTTCGAGTAATTATGCAATTTTTACTTTGCGCACGTTACGTTCAAATTCGCGTCCTTCAAATTCGCAATTTTATCCAAGTCACGTACATGTCGACGGGCTCTTATCAAGCCCAGACAATCGCGCATATATCGGTGTATATGATCAATGTCGCGAAAAATGTATTGCACGCTTGGAATCTGGCCAGCGCCAGAAAAAGAATGCGCTGTATACACCGGCGAGCGCAATAAAATTCAGATATTAATAGAGTTCGCAAATGACTAAAAATAAAAATCACGTGCAAAGTGTATGGGACATATTTTCATACGCAAAAATATATTACAAATACTGCGAATATCTTCGCTAAGGGTTGAATTCAGCAGAACGTTAACGATAAGCAAAACCTTTTAAACGAAGAAAGTGTAAACGCCAACCTTGCCAGACATCTACGACTTTGTTAGTAATTTTGTTAAGTTTTATTTTTTTTTTAACCAATTTCAGCTAACTTTGTTCGAGATATAAAAACGCTCTATATATTTTATCGCATATATAACACGCATACATTGACGTAGTGTTTACATTAAACATATATATTTCGGAACCAATTAATATTTCCAATCTGTAAACATAGTAACGTGATGGCGAATGTAGGACGCGTCCTTTCTTTTCTTTGATTAAAGAGCATAATTAATTACTATTTGTTACCATTTATAAGTGAGATTTCATTTGCTATTTTATTTATCGTATCGATAGGGTCGTTGCCACGAATGTTTGCTTTATCCAAAGTCCGTACAGCTGTTCCGATCTTTTATTATCACGTGAACTGAAGATGCACATCGGCAGGCATTAATACGCGAGAAGTTGACGTGTAAAATTAGTATAAGTCTTAATATAAGTATAAGTGTTAAGTGTTAGTATAAGTATAAGTATTAGTATAAGTAGTATTAGTATAAGTGTAAAATTAGTATAGTACTCTCGCTATGAGAGTAATAACATCACTAGAATACCAGAATTATATATCTCAAAGTTTTAACAGTTTTTAAATTTATAATATTGCAGAATTCTTCAACGTTCACTTTTTAAAACATTAACCGAATATACGGCGTAAATAATATTATATAATAACACGAATATATTAACTCTACCAAGCAATCGCCTCTCAAGTGTGCATTTCCATAACTTCCATTATTTATTATCGAGATAACGCCTGCGACATTTTCTGAAATATTTATTGTTCCGATTATTCGTCAGACATGGAATTATTTACATATTATTCGGTAACCGTCTCGGTTTTATCGTCAAAAAAGAAAGAACCCTACAAAAGATTGTGCGAAAATTTAAACGCAATTTTATCTTACGAAAATAAGTTTCTTTTAATACCTCGAATACGCAGGTTTCTCAATGAGGAATCGACTCTACACGGTCATGGATGACGAATGCGGTATTCGACGGTAGTTAAAGAATAAAGAAGAAAGGACCGAAGGGGACACAATTTGGCTCACCTTTTCGGCCGTTCCGCGATGCGTGATGTTGCCCTGCCAGAACCGCCTGCTGAAGCCCTTCACGTAGCCGGTTGTGCTTCTGGTATATGAGAAACCGGGATACCAGCAGAGTGACCCATATCCAAATACCCAGAGTTCGTTTTCTTGCGTACTATTCATCTTGGTGCTCTCTCGCGAAAAAGAAAGTCGAGTAACGAGCGAGTCTCTACCGTGTTTCTTTTTAATTTATTACTTTATCTTCTTTATTTCTTTTTTATCTCGTTTCTGATAGTAGATAGGGAACTCAATGTTCCACGTTCTATATCCCTGGATTTATCGTTAAGAATTTGTACACGTTGTGACTTATATATCCTCTTCCTACAAGATGGTCACGAAGTTTTTTCTTGTAATTACCCTCTTCGTAATTAAAAAAAAAAAAAAAAAAAAAAAACACGCGTTAACACACCTTTATCTGGTGCGTGTCTCAGTTTTCTCAGTTTCTCTAAAAGTTCGAATTCTCCGAATCCGTGTCTCTCGATGAAAAATCCATTTCAATTCGAATGGTCTCATATTTTTTCTTTTCTATAGATATGCAGTATGCAGTACATTTTTTTCTGATCAAAACAAAAATCTAATTATTTTATAATTTTGTTCCAATTGTAGGAGATCGCCAATAGCTCTTTGTCGGATCTTTATCGGATCAGTGACAGTTCTACGTAGTCGAATTGATGACAAGTTTCACTTTCGACACGGTGATGATCGCCGAATCAATTCTCAATCATCGCTGATGCACGCGTTTGCGTCTCTCTGAATCCCTCGCGGATAACTCGCCGTTCTTCCGTGTTCAATTTATTAATTCGTGGGGCGGCTCCGATAATCGACGGAATACCATAATTACAAGATGCTCCTTTTTTGCCGTCATCTCGGCTGTTTCACGTGTCTACTCTGCATCAGCGATGCGCTGGATCCTCAAGATCGATCCTGGGTCAAGTCGGTCGGAGAAATCCGCTCCGCAAAGATCGATCCGTCAGCAACTGTCTCGTGATCTCGAGCGAACGTATGCTCAAGTATTCCCGAGACATTTGGAGGATCCCGGAAGAAGGGCGAGTCACTTAACAAGATCCGATGAGAGCTGCCGGTCGACTGTGTCAACCGGCTAACATTCGGTCAACTCGACCAAACGCGCGCCAGCAGGAGGGAGAGAGAAAGGTATCGGGAAAGAGCACAGCGAACTGGGGAAGACAGAGAAGAGTAGCGGAGTATCTGGCGTACACGCCAGCGGAGAGATGGTGGGGATGGATGATGAAACGAACCGCCTGATTGACGTGACGCACCGGACGTGCGTGAGCATTCCGTTGATCGGATTAATTTCGGGAAACACACCGGTTAGTACTATCAAAGGTTTACGCGACAGGGCCAACTGGTTCATACGCACGTGTTTAAAATACAGGAAGTTACGCGCGACTCAGAACGTGAAAGATTTCAAAAACAAATGTCGTCAATCGTGTTTATAAAAATTGAGCGCGGGGCAAAGATTGATCTTTCAAACATCGGTTTGCAGAACAAAATATTCAGATTTGCTTGGTACATTTGAGAAATAGTTTTGCGTTAAAATCTATACACATTGTATATTCCTTTCAATTATCTGAAACTAGTTAAAAGCACATTGTTAGAATTGCAAACATTGTTATGTTTATTTAGAGGAAAGATTATGATACAAATTCGTGTTATCTCTCTTGACTCGTTTCTGGCTCGGAAAATACTTTATCCAGGAGTTCGGCACACATGTCTATCTCGTCCTGGTTTTCCACAGGTTTCAATTCTGTCAACAATTGCTCCAAAGTGGATCTTAAATACAATTGTGATCGGCGACACTCCTTCAGCGCCGGTAAAAAATTATCGTTTACCATACTACTGAGCACTCTCAGCAGTTGTTCCCTACGATAAAAATAATCCTCGATTTATATCGGATGCGAGGAAAATAATGTGAAAAATCATTACGTTCTCTTGAAATGCATGCCGCAGATGCGTTACCTGACTGCCGGCTGTAAATTTATTCTACCCAGCAATCCTGCCGCTTGCTCTATGAATCCCATTTTTACCAAGGTATGTTTTACGTTCGAATCATCCTTGCTGCACAAGCTTGAAAGCAAAAATGCGGACTTTATCTGTAATTTCTCCACCGGGCTTTGCATTGCTCGCAAAAGCACCGAGTAACCATCGTTCGTATCCATATACTTTAATGATGCAGGGTGTCCCCTGACTATACCTGTATTTAAAATATAATCAATAAGAATAATAATAAAAGACGGACATTGCAACGTTCCATTACTTACACGACACTGCGTACAGAGCTTTTATCCTGGCCTGTTCCGATGGATCTGAATCGATCATAGACAACAAAACAGGAAATACTCCAGCTTCTAATAGCTTGTCTTGACAAAATGGATTATTTTGCGCTAATTCGGCGATAATATCAGCTATCCGCCATCTGATGCTACTGTGCGAGGAATTCAGGCATGGCTGAAATATCGAGAAGCCTCCAATTTTATAAAAATCATTGGCTATGTCAATATTGTCTACAAAATCTGCCATCCTTTCCAATGCATTCTCATATTCCGACGAATCATCGTCCGCTCGTAAATTGATGACGTTAGATAAGATTTGCACAGCTTTTTGCAATTCCTCTATCACGTTTACCGTTAACGATGATAATGCATCATTCAAAAACGCTTTTTTCTGCAACATACAAACACATCCGTCAGATATGAACAAGTAAATAATGCATAATTTTAAATTAAATTTTATACTTCTTCGTCCAAAGGATAGACTGGCGATTTATTTTCCGTATCCTCAGACTGTGCCGCATCCATAGCATATTTGAGTAAACCTTGCAAATTAGTTGGTTGCCTTGGTTGGTTTGGTAATGGTTGCGATGGGACTCGCTCGGTGTTACTGGAGGTTGAAGGACCCTCGATGGACAACGGTCTCGTACTGCTGTTCGACTGACCTTGGTTGGCATCCTTTTTCGATTCTCTATTCTCAGAACTAGGCAAAAGATTATACAGGTGCTTAAGTTTAGGTTAAACACGGTAGCTAATAACGTTAATACGTACCTGTTCATTTTGACGTTACTCTGTTTAGCGAATGATGCGCCCATTAACTGAATAACACACGGCTTAAAAACCAATTCTCAACTAACTCAACTACTTGTTCTGATTCATTGCATATCTTTTTATGGGATTTTATATTTCTGTATATAACACATGAATTTCTTCATATATGAGATGTCGCACTAAAGTGTGAGCGTATGTGGAACCTGTGTTACGTATCGGTAAAGTCACTACTAACTTTTTAATGTCGGTAACAAACAATACGTTACAACCAGTTATCAAATATATTTTATTCGATATATATAGATTAGTTATTAATTGCGCGATAATCATCTGATAATGCATAATTTAATTTTATTTAATCTAGTTACTAGGATTGCGAGGAAAAGGTATATGTAAGTAATATTTTTAAAGGCCGTCCTGCTTGTACCGGATGTCATTGCGATTAAATGCAAAATTTTGGACTTTGCATTTTCTTAGTTATAAATTAAACATTAGTTCTTATCTTAGGTTTTAACTAACATCCGCTAGAAACACGTCAACCAATAGAGGCCCTCCACCGCCCCCGCCGATTCTGTGTGATGGGCATTTTGTACATATTTATTTAAATATTAAAACATAAACCGATACAGTATGACAATTTCCATTAAATTTATTTTTTAATCTCTTACAAAAACTCTAGCAACGATACAATGATATAATAAGATGTGTGTATATTTATATTCGTGCCACAGTAATGTAATTATATGAAGCTATAACGTTTTAGGGGACTTATTCATATAATAATATTGTTCCTAATAAAGTACAAATTCTCAGACATTATCAAATTATTCAATATATTCAAACTGAAACATGCATGAATATGAAACTTTTCCCTTATAAAAAGGAAAGGTATTATTTTTATGCGACATTGATTCTTAGTGACTCTCTAAAAATGCAGCTACATATTATTGCACTGATATGATTTAACGAAGTGCACGCATCGAATTGTATAGCAATCAAACAAAATAATGTGGTTTCTTCACTATTATGCCATATTCCGCAACCGCTGGTGTCAGATCTTCCATAGTCAGAGTATAACGTCGGTCTTTTCCCTTTGTTTTTGTGTTCTGATTGGCACCACGTGTTTTGCAGTGCTGCAACGCATCGTTGGCAATTTCTGAAATAAACTTTTGCGCCGCTAAGGACACCAGGCGTACTCTATAAAGTAATAAGAAGTCGTTTAACAACATATAACATTGTTCAATAGATTTACTGAGCAGATAAAAATGTTTGGTTAACAAAACGTTTATCCAATATACAGGATGATTTAATCAATATCACATTTATACTTACATTCTTGGATCAGTGGCATTGAAACCAGCTGTGTGCAAATAATGTTCGGTGATGGCATCAGGAATCTAACGTTAACATAAAAAAATATATAGTGGCACTAAAGTTACAGGATATGATATAGAATAGGTAAACGCATAATTTGCTATAAATTCAAGATTTATTTCTTTGGACAAATTTATTCGACAAGAAAATGGATTGATACCGTAGGTGTATAATCCTCCAATTGCAACAAGAAATCCGACAACGGTTGTCCCGCAGTCTTGACTTCCTCGTTGTAAATCGGTGGCGTTTCCCTTCCAAAATTCTCCGCCATTTCTGTAACGAGAAATAAAACTGTGGCAGCTGTGTTCTGTGCTGTCTGTGCTATCAATTCCTAACCTAAATCACTAGACGCAAAAAACGAACCGTTTCGCTGTTCCGTAACTTGCCGGTCTTAAACTTGGCGATTTTTGCCTTATCTTTTATAAATATTTATCTTTTTGGACGCACAGTAGCACTTTTTTTATGTGACAATACGCGAATTTCTTTATGCTCGACTCACACGCATTTTAGACGCGTAATTGTACGTAAATTCACGAAGAATGTTTCATGTAACCCAACCTAACCTAACCCTCGGTTAGAGCCTTAGAGCATAGTTTTAAATCAACGAGAACCAAGGATTTATAAAAAAAAATGTGGCTATGATAGTAAAAGAATAACTTATAAACGTTTGTAATCGACCATTTAATCCAAAAGAATATTGAATACTTGGTATTCAATACATAAACCAACAATAGGATTGGGAATGAGAGTATAATTACTTGATTCACACCAAATTGCGACCTATTTTGTTTATGTTACAATAAAAATTTGTAATGTGAGTTTATAAGAGTGTGTATATTACTCTGCCTTGAAAAATTATTGTTGTGGTTATATAGCTAGAGTGTGATTTATATGATTCTTAATTTAATGAACTTAATGATTTTTTACAGGATGGCATCCGAGAACGTCAATTCTCATACAACAGCTTCTTCGGAAGAGACTGGACAATCCGTTACCAGTACGTCGCAGGAAAGTAATAATAAGGATGCAAACTCAACTAAGCCACAGACTCAAGTAAATTCAATGAGTAATCTCCAAAGGATAAATCAACGCAAGCAGCTGACGTACAACTGGCCACAAGAAAAGAAATTGTTGAAGCTTGCGAATTATAGTGCTTGTCAGGCAAAAGAATGTAAATGTACAGGCTGGAAAAACGCGCAACCGATTATAAGATCGCCAAAGGGTGAAATACAGCAGCCTCTTATAACCTTTTCTGATCCATGCAAGATATGTACTCATTCTTTAGAAGATCACGCCAAGCACTTGCGGGTTCAATCTGACGAGGAAATCAACAGATTGTTGGGAATGGCTATTGACACGGACAATATTTTAACATGTATACACAGAGAAAAGGATAACGATACTAAGAAAGTTTATTTTTTTTTGTATAGAGTTTTGAGGAATTGTCTTTTAACTAGAGCAAAGCCAGCCTTAGAAGGAGGCTGGTTGGGAAAGCCACCATTCGAAATACCCGTCATATCGAAAGCAGTACTGAATTTTGTCTCGTATAAATTTCATCATTTACCAGTGAGAGAATGGTACATTATGTGCGACATGGCAAAAATGTTTTTACATTGCCTGAACTATTGGAATTTTGAACCGCCCAGTGCCAGACAAGTAACAGCGGTAACAGCTAATTCGGACGAAGTTCTCGCTTACAAAACTAATTATACCCGCTGGCTATCCTTCTGCCATGTGCCTGCGTTTTGTGACTCTTTACCGAAACACGATACTTCTGCGGTATTTGGAAAGTCTCTGTTACAAGCCGTATTCAAATCACTTTGTAGAGAAGTGGTGAATAAGTGTCATAATGACAGAGACAAAATAACGCCGGAAAAGAGAGTTCTAGTTTTAACACATTTTCCCAAGTATGTATTGAATCAGTTTTCTCTTCTTAATTTTGGTTTTTCGTAATTTTCACAGGTACTATATAATTATTTGTATTTAAGGTTTCTTTCAATGCTAGAAGCTGAAATTTATTCTGATAACGTACCCATGTGGGATCCTAATTTTAAAGCAACACCACCGTTTCATCTGCAAGTTGCCATGCAGGAATCAAAGGCACAGCAATTAAGAAGGACAGGCGAATTTGAGAAAGTCACCGTTCCACCAAACGAGAAAGATAATTATACAACAATAAATATTAGTCCTGGAATAAGAAGACTTCCTGAAAAGCGTTCCTATTCCGAAGGACGACCTGACGCAAAGAAACGAAAAAGTGAAGAAGTTTTTGAGGATTTGCCAGAGGAAACTGTCGCTGAAATTGTTGCGACTATTAATGATCCCAATTATATGTGTGGACCCGACGCGGTATTTCCTCCGGATGTTCCACGAGACGAAACTGCTAAAATTGAAGAAAGCAGGAAGATCATAGAGTTCCATGTTGTCGGCAATAGTCTGACGCAACCTGTGTCTAAGCAAACTATGCTTTGGCTGATAGGATTACACAATGTATTTAGCCATCAATTAGTCAGAATGCCTAAAGAATATATATCCCAATTCGTTTTTGATCCGTGAGTATCATCCAAAAATATAACAATTATGTTAATTCATTGTAAGAATTTATCTAGTGACAATCCATTATTTATCACACACAGGAAGCATAAAACATTGGCCCTGATAAAAGGTGGTCGTCCAATCGGCGGTATTTGTTTTCGCACGTTTCCTACTCAGGGTTTTACTGAAATAGTATTTTGCGCTGTTACGAGCCAAGAGCAAGTGAAAGGCTATGGAACGCATTTAATGAACATGCTGAAAGATTATCACATAAAAAACAACATACTGCATTTTCTTACATTCGCAGATGAGTTTGCCATCGGATACTTTAAAAAGCAAGGATTTAGCAAAGATATAAAACTGCCGACGTCGATGTATCAAGGATACATCAAAGATTATGAAGGAGCGACATTGATGCACTGTGAATTAAATGCTAAAATAGTATACACCGAATTTACAGCGGTACTAAGAAAACAAAAAGAGATCGTGAAAAAATTAATTTATCAGAGGCAACAGGAAATACAGAAAGTTCATCCGGGCTTAACGTGCTTTAAAGATGGTGTAAGAAGTATTCCTGTCGAATCCATTCCAGGGATTCGCGAAACCGGATGGAAGAATTACACTCAAACGAGAACGAGAGGTGTGGCTAAAGGAACGCAAGGTGCAGAACTTGTAGATGGCATGGATATGTCAGATGTCCTTTATAAAGATTTGAACGGTGTTCTGAATAGTGTGAAGAATCATAGCACAGCTTGGCCATTCCTCGAACCTGTGGATAGAAACGATGTCCGAGACTATTATGATCATATAAAATATCCAATGGGTGAGCAAAAAAGATGTACATTTTCAAAACGATCAAATTACTTTTTGATAAATTATTAAATATAAATAAACAATTAGTGTTAAAATGAGAAAACTTAATAATCAGGAATTAATGATACACAATTTTTTATTTTGCAGATCTCAAGACTATGGAAGACCGTTTAAAGTCTAAATACTATGTAACTAGAAGATTATTTATCGCAGACATGACACGAATTTTCACAAACTGTAGATTGTATAACGGTCTCGAGACCGAATATTATCACTGCGCCAATACTCTAGAAAAATATTTTCAAACACGTATGAAAGAGATTGGTCTGTGGGATAAGTAGAATTTTTAAGTGCTTGTGACATAATACAAAAAATATAAAAACAATAATTTTTTATTTATTATTAATTGTCCCTTTATTAGCTACTTACTAACAATAAGTAGGACAGTTGCCAATACTTTCAATTGAACTATTAGTAGAGAAAATATTTCTAGGAGAATATTCAGGTAGGACGAAGGGTTAGGTTAAAATTTGTTTCTTTGCTTATGGAACTTTAATTAAAGTTTGTTATTGCATATGTGAACCTAGAGTAACGAAAATTTCGGATTTAACAGAAATCTTCACTTGGCGAAGACTCAAATCAACCAAGTAAAAATTTAAATCCATACAACAGAAATTTTAAGGTTACTTTTATCGCTCATACGCGCGATAGCCAATCATCATTCGGTATATACTATTGCTTCCAGAAAAATGGTAATAAATGGAAAACAATTGGCCGTTGTGTGGACACCTGGACATGCATTATCTTATGCCGCATTTCCTGATGCAGCAGCATGCACTTGCATGCATGCAACAGTGTGTAGGAAGCATTAGGGAACAGTTCATATAACCTGATCTGTCAAAAACTGTCCTGTATATATCGACGTACTAATAACATAACAAATTGTAGAATAGAGATTGCTGGCATGACAATTCTACAGATATCATAATTATTTATTTAAATCAAAAGATATCATTATTTATTATTATTTATATCAAATATCATTGGATAGTTGAACAAAGTGTATCATTGAGAATAGAAACATAATTAACTTGGTTCACGTAAAATTGAACTTCTAATGTGCGTGTAAATTCACGTAAGTTACTTTAAAATGTTATTACTGCAATTAATGATACGATGAGATCATCACAAGTACAATTTGCTCAAACCAATAAGATGAATGTTATAAGGTTTTTTGCAGAATGGCATCCGAGGACGTCAATTCTCATACAGCAGCTTCTTCGGAAGAGGCAGGACAACCTGTCAGCAGTACCTTGCAGCAAGAAAATAATAATAAGGATACAGCTAAGCCACAGACTCAAGTGAATCGAACGAGTAATCTCCAAAGGATACACCAACGCAAGCAGCAGACGTACAACTGGCCACAAGAAAAGAAATTGTTGAAGCTCGCGAATTATAGTGCTTGTCAGGCGGATGAATGCAAATGTACGGGCTGGAAAAACGCACAACCGTTTATAAGATCGCCGAAAGGCGAGATACAACAGCCCGTTATAAATTTCTTTGATCTGTGCAAGATATGTACTCATCCGTTAGAAAATCACATCAAGCATCTACCGGTTCAGTCAGACGAGGAAATCAACAGATTATTGGGAATGGCTATTGACGCGGACAACATTTTTGCGTGTACACACAGGGAGGCAGATCCCGATACTAAGAAAGTATATATTTATTTGTACAAATTATTGAGGAATTGTATCTTGTTTATGACAAAGCCAACTGCGGAAGGAAGCCCGTTAGGAAAGCCACCATTTGAAAGACCTAACATAGCGAAGGCAGTAACAAACTTTGTTTTGTATAAATTTAGTCATTTGCCGCAGAGAGAATGGCAAGTTATGTACGACATGGCAAAGATGCTTTTACACTGCCTGAATTTTTGGAATTTTGAAGCACCCAGTGCCAGACGGTGTCAAGCAACCAATACAGATGAAGCTTCTATTTACAAAGTTAATTATGCCCGCTGGCTCGTCTTTTGTCATGTACCTGCGTTTTGTGACTCCTTGCCGCATTACGACACTCCTGTGGTTTTTGGGAAGTCTCTGTTACAAGCTGTATTTAGATCAGTTTGTAGACAATTAATGGATAAGTGTAATAATGAAAGAGACAAAATAGCACCGGAGAAGAGAGTTTTGGTTTTAACGCATTTTCCTAAGTATGTCCAACACATTTTTTTTTCCATTTCTTATATACATATATAACTTATAAATATCAAGCTGAATATTATATATAATCTTTTATACTTAAGGTTTCTTTCATTGCTGGAAGTAGAGATTTATTCTGATAAATCCCCCATTTGGAATCCTGACTTTAAACAACTTCTGCCTTCTCACTTTCAAACTGCCTTGGACTCAAAGGCTCAAGCAAGGAAAGCAGGAGAATTTGAAAAGGTTACTGTCACTCCGAATGAAAAAGATAATTTTACAACGATAAATATTAGTTCTGGAATCAAGAAAATGCAGGATAAGCGTCCAAACGCCGAAGGGCGTCTCGACGCAAAGAAGCGAAAAACTGAAGAAACTTTTCAAGATCTTCCGGATGAGACCATTGCTGAAATCGTTGCAACTATTAATGACACTAATTATATGTCTGGTTCTGATACAGTATTTCCACCAAATGTGCCACGGGACGAAACCGCTAAGATGGAAGAAAGTAAAAAGATAATAGAATTTCATGTAGTTGGAAATAGCCTTACACGACCAGTGTCTAAGCAGACTATGCTTTGGCTGATAGGACTGCAAGATGTGTTCAGCCATCAATTACCAAGAACGCCCAAAGAATACATCACTCAGCTTGTTTTTGATCCGTGAGTAGTTCAATATCCAAATTCAATATCAGTGTTGAATAATTTTACCTATTTTACTACGCATGTATTCAATAACAATATTCTTTGTCTTTGTCCTACAGAAAGCATAAAACCCTAGCCCTGATTAAGGACGGTCGTCCAATTGGTGGGATTTGTTTTTGTATGTTTCCAAGTCAAGGTTTTACAGAGATAGTTTTCTGCGCTGTTACGAGCCATGAGCAAGTAAAAGGCTATGGAACGCACTTAATGAATATGTTGAAAGATTATCACATTAAGAACAACATACTGCATTTTCTTACATTTGCGGATGACTTCGCTATTGGATACTTTAAGAAACAGGGATTTAGCAAAGATATAAAACTGCCGAAGTCAGTGCACCAGGGATACATAAAATATTATGTCGGAGCAACGTTGATGCATTGCGAGTTAAACCCGAAAATTGTATATACCGAATTTACGGCGGTTATCAGGAAGCAGAAGGAAATAGTTAAAAAGCTGATTCATCAAAGACAACAGGAAATACAGAAAGTGCATCCTGGCTTAACGTGTTTTAAGGAGGGTTTAAGGGGAATCCCTATCGAGAGTATCCCGGGGATTCATGAAACTGGATGGAAAAGTTGCGCTCAAACTAGAACGAGGGGTGTGGCGAAAGGAATGCAAGGTCCAGAACCAATGGACACGAGTTTGGACGTCCCAGAATCTCTATGTAATACATTAAATGGTGTTCTGAACAGTGTGAAAAAACACAGCACAGCGTGGCCTTTTTTGAAACCCGTAGATAAGAATGATGCTCCAGACTACTACGATCACATAAAATATCCTATGGGTGAGTTTAAGAAAATTGTCTATACATTTAACTGATTAAAATAGATGAATATAATTACCTGGCTATTACCTGAAAAAAATCAACCGAATATAAAAATACCAAAATACAAATAATATATCTATTTATGTTATAGATCTCAAGACGATGCAAGATCGTTTGAATTCAGGATATTATGTAATAAAGAAATTATTTATAGCAGACATGTTACGGATTTTTACCAACTGTAGATTGTATAATAGGTCTGACACTGATTATTACCGTTGTGCCAATGCTTTGGAAAAGTACTTTCAAACGCGTATGAAAGAAGTCGGGCTTTGGGATAAGTAGAACTTTTAAAATTGTTGTTAATGATAATGTTGACACACACACACAATTAATATTTCCTAATTTATTCTTATTATAAAGTATTATTGCTTTATAAAGTAAGTCCATATTTTGAAATCGTATCGTTCTTCGTGCAATATTTGTGCGATATTTGTATAAAAGTAAATTTAAATAATAATATATATAATATCCACATGTGTGAGAGTGCCTGTTGGAATAATTAAAAAAAAAGAAATTTTTATTTCTGTAGTACTATTCTTCGATTATCTATCTTTTATTCTTTATTTTCTTGAAAAAATGCTTATATCGTATTTATTACATTGGTTTCAATCGATTTCTTCAAATACGTATATATATATATACGTATATAACGCGCGCATATAATCATTGAATTAACAGAGATGCATGTCGGAATATATATATATAATAGATCGGATATAT